TAACATACAAAGTTAAAAACATTATTTAAATCTACCAACTAATGGAAACAAGAAATAAAAAAAGAGGGGGGGAAAAGATATTGATGACTTACTGCAAAGCTACTGGGAAAGGATCTAATGAGTGAATGGGTTTCTGAATCAAGAAAAAAGCCCATTTAAGTACATATAGAATCAATATGCTATGTACCTGGTCAGTAGTTAGTCAGCCAGTTCTTGTTAAAACCCCACATTCATAACACTTTCAACAGGGGGTCATTAAAGAAAGAGATGAGGAATCCAACTTATAGCACACACAATGGCAGAAGAGGTGGGTAATAGTAAGCAGTGAGATGTGTGGAAGATGACGCACTTTGAGGAGGCGGAGGGTCTGGCCTGTGCGCTGTACACTGATAAGCAATGACTCTGGAAGGGCAAGTGGGCAGAGAGCTGTTCGTGGGCCCCGAACGTCTCCTCTGATAAAAAGGGTTCCAGGAGCTTGGAAACAAGTTCCACTTCATCTCCCAGTTTCCAGCATCTATAATAGTTTGCTTTAGCTCTCTTTACTCATACTGGGGCTACTAGGAGGCAATGCAGTACAGTAAAGGGTCTTTCATTTTCTCCTTCTCAAATGAGGACCATATCCCACAAGGAGTTTTGTGTTCAGGACAAAATGAGATAAAGACATGTGGAAAAACTGGAATACTGGTGATTAAATGACTGTCAGTGCTCTCATGCTATGGCAGAGATGGCTACAGGCTTTGTGCTCCACTGAGAAGGCGCTGGCCAGCCAGGAACTATGTCTCCCAGCCCTACAGCAGGTGCTGTGGCAGCTGACTAGTTCTCCCCGGTGCAGTGCAAGTGGACGCCCCGGCTGTTCAGAACCAGGTGGACCTGCCTTCTGCTCTGTCCCCAGCCGCCAGCCACATATAGATGATGCTGACAAGGCCCTAGGTGACTGCAGAACCACAAGTAGAAAGACACCTGGGTTCTTCAGTCACCTGTGGAAAAGAGCCATTTGACAACCAGGAACACCCATACTGACTGCTGCATGGCTGAGAAACAAGCTATTGTGTAAAGCCACCGAAATGCTGAAGCCACTATTTGTTATAGTAGCAAGCATCACCCTAACCAATATAAACATGCTATGTGATAATGACTATACTAATAATGGTGAGGGTGTCACATGTTGCATCAAACTAGCCGTCATCAATGATATTACACATGAAAAGATGTTCAGCATCATTAGCCATCAGGAAAATACAAATCAAAACCCTAATGAGATGCCACTTCACTTCCACTAGGATGGCTATGAACAGAAAGACGATAAAAAGTACTGGCAAGAATGTGGAGAAACTGGAAACCTCATACATTGCTGGTGGTGCAGCTGCCGTGGGAAAGTCTGGCAGGTCCTCAAAAACTTAAACCATTGGCATTAAGAACCAGCAATTCTACTCCACTTCTAGGTTCCAGGTATGTTCACATAAAAAGTTACACAGGAATGTTCATGGGAGCACTATATATAACAGCCTAAAAATGGAAATAATTCAAATGTTCATCAACTGATGAATGGATAAACAAAATGTGATATGCCTCTATCTATCTATCTATCTATCTATCTATCTATCTATCTATCTATCTATCTATCTATCTATCTGTGTGTGTGTGTGTGTATGTATATATATATATACACATCCATAGGATGAAATATTATTCAGTCGTGAACAGGAATGAAATGCTGATACATGCTATAACATGAATGAACCTTGAAAACATCATACTAAGTGAAAGAAGCCAGGAACAAAAAAATCACTTACTACATGATACCATTTACATAAAACATCTAGACTATGCAGACAGAAGTAGATTATTAGGTGCTGGGGCTGAGGGAGCTGGAGGGAAATGGGGAGACTGTTAACAGGCAGGTTTCTTTTTGGAGTGATGACAATATTCTAGAACATTAGATAGTAGTGATGGTTGCATAACTCAATGAATATACTAAAAACCAATGAATTACATGATTTAAAAGGGTGAATTTTATGGCATGGGAATCATACCTCAATTAAAACAGTATCAGCTAACTGCTTTATCTTGCCTCCCAGAGACTGTGGCTCTGAGCTCTTTTCCAGTAATGACTGGAAAGGGGATAAGGGAATCTTCTAGGATGCTGGACGTGTGCTAATTTTGACCTGAGTGATAGTTACACGGGTATACACACATATAAATACTCATTCTAGGCATGATTCTAGGCTGGTCAGAATGAGCAGAATCCTTCCTGCTGGCTTCCCCACCGCCAGAGTAAGCTCACACAGAGCCCTGGTGCCCTATGCATGAAATGCCCAATTGCCTACGAAGAACCTGAGGTACAAGCTTTCCTTAGTTTAGGTAACAGTGTAGCTAACACGGAGAGGAGATAAATATTTAAAGCTAACCTTGAGAATGATATGAGGGTGGGGAATAGGATAGAGTCCCTGAATAGCTACTAAAGTGTGTACTGAATCAGCACAATTTTCTAAGAAAGAGAAAAGTCCTAAAGAGGGGGTGTGAGATGTGGCGGGTAGGACCCACGAGAGGACTGCATATGGAAAGTATCTATCTTTACCTGCTTAGGTACATGCCATTTTTGAAGGTCAAGTTCAAATCACAAAATAAGGAAAGTTTGTTTGGTCATATTTTAAAGTAAATTCTCATTTAAGTACTTAATAGTCAAAACTGAAGTAAAGGATCATCAGAATGTTTTCAACCTCAAAATAAGATCTAATTTGGTGGTTCTATGAATCTTCATTGGAACCTTCGGAATCCATTGGAGAGACTGTCTTTGAAATGGGAATAAATTCCTCAAAGGGTGTCACTTACTTGCAGGAGACCTTAGTTCTGTCAGCCACCATGGTCCACTGTTGCTGGTTGGTGGAAACCTCAACGTAGTAGCTATAGCTTCGATCGTCACAGTCCCAAAGTAATAACCTGAACAAAGGGAAAACAAGGATGCTGTGAGTGTTCCAACTGGCTGTTCCTTAGGCTGCAGGCATGAGGGAACCCATGTCTACCCCACCCCTCCTACCTGCCTCCTTCGCCCCTAGGACTGGACAAAGAAAGTGAATCCCCAACAAAAGTTTGGTGAGAGAAGGCAGTCAGTCTGCAGCAAGAGGACTGTTTCTTTAGGAATTTATTTCACAAGTCATCATCCCATCCCAGGCAGCCTCTGTCCCCCAAGTGGAAAGCTCGTCTGATTGGCTTATCAGGGAAATGTCACCAAATCCTTTTTCCAGTCTTACAACTGGCACCTTCAGTGGGCTGTGCTCTCCAAAGGTAACATCCTGAGGCCACCATTTTTGGGGGAATCTGTGTTTTCTAATTGGTAATAATTAATATGTCCCAATGACCTTTATTATCACATTTTGGGTTCCTTCTCATTCTTACTAGGCATTTTGTTTGTATAGCTTTGGTAAGATTGTCTGATTTGGAGATACAGGCATACATATATTCATTAATAAAACTTTCCCATTATTTAGAAATCCATTATCTTGGTCCTGTTCTTCTTATCCCCTCTTCAGCCCAGATAAGAACCTAATCATTGGCTATTTGATTCCATTTACATAAAGCTCAAAACAGACACAATTTATCTATGGTGACAGCAACCAGAATAGCAGTTACCTCTGAGGGAGGTAATGACTGGACAAGGGTATAAGGGACCTCTGGGATGCTGGGAATGTGCTAATTTTGATCTGAGTAGTAGTGACACGTAAATATTCACTGAGCTGTACATAAAATATCTGTGCACTGTATGTGTGTTATTCCTCAATTAAAAAAACAGAGTTAAAAAAAAACACCCTAAGTATTGTAGTACGGGATCAGACTACAGTCTGGCATCCTGCTTCTGACAGTGCCACAGTGGTGAGAGGTCACTGTTTTCTACTATTTCAGCCTCCGAAGTCCTTCCCATACAAGATACTATCTTATTGTTTTACAGTTGGTCATGACATTTGCCTCCTCCAACTAGAAAGATAGTGATTTCCCTGAAGGCAGTACCTATGGTTTTTAACTTGTCTTACTGGTTTTTCTATCCTCAGTACTTGGCATAGTGTCTCACACGGAGGCTACACTCACTGAGCAAATACATTATTTGTAACAATAACAATGGTAATAACAATGATGATGATTATTATCATAAAGGCCAACAATTCTTTAATGCTTGCTTTCTGTGCACCAGGCCGTATGTTAAGTGCTCTATATAATTTATCTTATTAAACCCTTCCAAAAACCCTCTTAGCAAACATTATTATTCTCATCAAATTATACATGGTGAAAAGTGAGGCTTAAAGCTGTTGAGCAACTTGTCTAAACTCAGTTAGTGATGGCAGATACCAGGTTCCCACCTGGTGTCCTGACCACAGCCTACTTCTGTAATCCCTCTGCCAAAGGTTTCTATACTCCCCGTGTATAGATCTGGGTCATAATTTATAGCCGGTAACCTATCACTCTACAAGAGTAGTTCAGGTTATTTCCCCTTATCTTGCAATTATAATCGATGAAAATCCTTTGTATAAGATTCACTTCAGTCTCACCTATAAAGCTATTATTGAGGATACACAATGCCACCAAGTTCCCCTTTCCCTTTACCCTTTGTTTCTTGTTTTCAATTATAATTTTTTTTTTGCTCATGTTGACAATTACCTAATATTTTTGGATTCATCTTTTAAGCAGAGAAAACTATTAGAAGGTTTTGGAAAGCATAAACAGATTACACCTACAGATTCCCCTTAATTCACCTGAGTATTTAATCTCTCAGAGGACTCTGAATGAATCAGACAGGATTCCACCCTATTGTTTTCACCCATCCAGTAATTCTACTCTTAGAGTATACCAGTTTGCCTGATAAGAAAGTGAATCATTTCCCTCATCAGTCATTTCCTCAAATATTATTGCAGTCTCTCAGCACTTCTATGCAGTTAGCCTATGCTAATTTATATTTATGTTTAGTAACTTTTAAAAGTATACCTTTTGCTTCTATGTTTGTATGATTCTTAAAATGATTATAAGCCTTTTAGAATGACCACTGATCTTTCTCTTTTTTAAAAAAATTTTACTCCAGGGCTGGCCAAGTGGCACGATGGTTAAGAACTGGCTTGGGATGCCAGAGGGCCCCGGTTCGGATCCCACATATGAGGGCCAGTGACACTGCCCTCCACAGCTAAGATGCTGAACAACAGCTCAACCTGGAGCTGGGCTGCAGTGAGTCGCTGGCGACGGTGTAGGCTGCAGCCCCTGTGGCAGTGGGTTGCCATGGGCTACCGTATGTAGCCAGCAGCCAGCGTGAGCGGCCAGCAGCCGCCGTGAGTGGCCGTCCAGAAGCCGGCGACTGATCTGCCTCGCCCGGGAAGAGCGCAATGATGGTGCCAACTTGGGCCAGTGAAGCAACGTCCTCCACAACTAGACTGAAGAACAAAACAATAGCAACTTGTCTGTTCCCCTTCCCCCAATTCCCCAGTGCTGTTCCCATCCCCCCAATTCCCCAATAAAAATCTTAAAAAAAAATTTACTCCAAATATGTGCTCTGTTCATAGTGTAAGCTTCTTTCATATATGTTCTGGACCGAAATCATTCATAATTCTGCCAGAGTTGATTAAAACCAGGAAAACATTTCAAATTAGTTAATCATTCTCTTTACTTAACAGCTCTGGTAACGGGCTTTTTGGAAGACAGTGTTGAGGCTATTTGCCCAATGGATCATTTGGATTATTTATGGAGAGCCAGGTCTACCATAACTCCTCTCCTTGTGGATAATGAGGTAGTGTTCCTACCAGTGTATCCAAATGAAAATAATCAGTCCCTTTTGGAATAGAATCTAACCAGATCTCGAAATATTTCATGGGAAAAGACTGCCCCGAGGATATGGGATATGAAGAAGATAAAAAGAAAGACCGATTATGAGTACCATAAATGCTCTCAGAGAGATTCTTGGAGTGATAGCAAATTAAAAGAATTTCTCAAGTTGTGCACATTGTTTCACATAGTAGCTTATTCTATAAAGTCCTCCAATTTGTTTCAAGGCAAATTATTATATTAAATTGAGGATCACCTGTAATTTCAATAATTTCATAAACACATACACACGGTGCAAATTATTTGTAACTTGCTTGTTTTGCTTTATGATCTATTATGAATGCCTTTTTTGTATCATCAAATAGTCTTCCTCCTCACATCTACTGGCATCACAGAATTTCACTGTATGGATAGCTCATCATTTATTTAATCAGTCTCTTATTATTGGGGACTTGGGTAGTTGATAACATTGCACTGTTATGAAAACTCGGCAAACATTCTTATAAGCTAAATCTATGACTGCTGCCTTTGAAAGTGTCCGTAAGTGGAATTCCTGGAGCAGGGCATGTGAGGCTTTGCTATGATTAGAAAACAGCCGTATACCTCTCCCCCTCCCACAAACAAAAGTCTGTACCAATTTATACTCACACCACCAACAATGTATAACAAATCCCGTTTCTGTGAGTCATCACCAATATTGTGTTCTACCTTTAAAAATACTGTCAATTTGACAGACGAAATATATCTCATTAGGTACTTTAATTTGCAGTTTTTTACTTGTCATTGAACTTGAACGTTTTATCCATTTTCTACTTATATTTATCCTTTTGTTAATGACTTACAAGATGCCCTCTGTATTTTAAGGATATTAATCCACTGCCTATCATAGTCTGCATGCTGAAGATATTAATTTTTATTAGCCTAGTCTATCGATCTCTTCCTCAGTAATTTTTCCTGGCCTAAAGTCTTTTTTCTGAACAGCAGCCAAACACACATACTGGTCGAGACATCTCCTTTCTATTTCTCTTTTAAGAGTCCCTGGGGGCTGGAAATGTGGGGTCACGGTGACTCCTGTGGAAAAGGGACACTGATGATGGACCTGAGGTTATCAAGCGTAGGGCTCAGACTCACCCACACTTTTGAGTTTTTAAGAGAGATTCGAATTCATGGGCCAAGATATTATTTACTTGGAATTTAGGCTTAACCAGGAATGAAAATCCCTTTGTTGACTCAACTGAAAAAAAAAGCAAGCACAGCTTAAGGACAGTAAAGGGAAAACTGGCTCAATTTATTTTTTCCATGGAGAGACATTTTGTTCTAATAAGACACAACTGCAAAGCCCACCAACTCCCCTCACTTCTTTCCCTGCCCACAAAGTCTGTTCCGACATCTTTCCACCTGTAACCACACAGAGATATTTCTGATTTCTAACCTGCCCAAGAATGTTTGCCCAGGGAGCTGGCCGGGACCCACACACTCCCTCCCTCCGGCTTGAACTAAGAGGAGCTCCTTAAACGTAAGTCCCGCACCTATTGTACAAACCTCCACCTCTACATCAAAAGCCCTTTTCAAAGGGGGCTGAATAAAGGAAGTTACTGGCCAAAGCCATCAATGCAGATCTGTCAGGTCTAGCTGTTGCCACACACCCCTCACCTAATGAGCACATGAACTGCCTGGTGATGGGAAATGCTGTCTCCTCCATCTCCCCTTATTCTCATTGTGGAGTTTCCCTTCAAAGCAGTAAAATGCTGGGCTTTTAAAAATTGATTAACAGATGTGATTTTGCCTACATCTCCCATAAACGCTCTGGCTGGCTGCATACCATTGATTACCAGGGTTCAGTTTACAGCAACTAATTGCTCTCCTTGCTGGTGTTTTGATACAAAATTCAATAGTGAATATGTTTTCAAAACTCTTGCCTTTGAGGCTCGAGTCAGAAGTGACTTGAGGCAAACCCTGTGGACTGAGTTTTTCCCTTCTTTAAAATAATTGCTCTCTCATCAGTCTGTGAAGAAAGTTTCCAAATTGTAGCATTCTAATTGGAAAGTCTGCATTATGCATGCGATGACAAACTGTGTTGTGCTGAACGGCATTTTTTTTCATCCCTTTCTTAAGGGATTAATTCTGTGCCAGACTGTGAA